TTTAATAATTTAATACTTCTAAATATAAATAACTCTTAATAGAAACTACATTGTCAAAAATAACATTAATAAACTCATTTATGTATTCGATAGTTGATGATTGAAATGATGTTATGATTTTTTATTTTTATAAAAATAACATTAATATGTGAATATAATTAAGTTATAATTGAAAGAAATCGTTGCTACTCTACCTCCTCATGTTGTGACTTGGTCAACTTTAGAACCCTGCTAAATACCCCAGTGGGGTCGCACCCCAGTGGAGTATAAGCACTTTTGGTCAACTTTATTATCCAAAAAGAATCCTCAAAAGATTTTGAGATCCACACAATACTAAGAAACAAATCTAATGATGAATCAGTTGATAATTTACTGCACGTTTCAAGTCTGCGCGAAAGGGGTAGAATCGGTGTACTCTTTGATTTATGAAATGTTTGGTTGGCGTTTCATAATGCTCTTCCTTTTTTTCCTTTTCTTTTTTAAATTAAAAATTTGTTTAGTAAAAAAAAATATATACATTATTTTTATATGATTTTTTCTTTTCTGAAGTGAAAATAATTTTTAAAATATAATTTTTTGATATTTATTTTTGTCAATATAGTTTCTAATTATTGAGAAACTTCAAAAAATAAATTCAGAAACTCAACCATACAGTAAGAGTTTATTTGGTAATGTTTATATTTACAAATTTGTTTATATTTACAAAAAATTTGAAACCGTAAAGAAAAATTCATTTGAAATCTAAATCCATTTACAAAAACTTGGTAAACAGCTCACAAAATTGATTAAATTTTTTATAATAAACACAAAAAATTTAGTTTCACTAATTTAATCTTTTTTTTTTTTTGGTCATTCTTTTCCGACACCTTCTAGCTATCATCCACTGTTCATCATCACTACCAGTCACTGTGGCTACTTACCTCTTCTAGCAACTATCTTTGGCCACTACCACCTTCTGCGGTTGGCAACCACCTTTGAACATTACCAACCCCTTCTTGTAAGTGAAAATTACCTTTGGCCACTATCTCTAATGATTGATAACCACATTCGGCTATTATTTCTGACTATCAACTAACACCTTTTATCTGATCCACCTTTGGCCACCACCACTTATCTGAAACCACATTCAATCATCATTTTCGACGATTGGTAACCATACTCAGCCATTATCTCTGACCATTGGCTATCACCTCTTGCTCATTGAAATTCAAACTTTAATATAATAAAACATTTTTTATGTTATGTGATAGTTAATGTAGTATTTCTGTCTAATTTTAAATATAAGTTAGTTTTTAAGAATAAACTGAGAAAAAAATTAAAATATAAAAGGTTAAAATAAGAAAAAATAAATTATAAAGGCCAAAGTAAAAAAAAAAAAAAACTTAAATATAAGGAGATCAAAGTATAATTTACTCATTTTTTTTTAAAACTTGTTTGACTAAAATCTTCCCATCTCAAATGAGGTCTTAGTTTCATTTAAATTATTAATTACTAATTCATTTGAAAGTTCACATTATTAGAAGAACTACTTTTATTATTTATATTATTATTGGTTGTGTAGAGCCTATACTAAGGGGTTGGTATGCAATGAGTAGGGTTGCTGGTATTGTGGCAGTTACATTTTAAGGTTTGGTGAGAGAAGAAAAGTAAAGGAAGTTAACACTACCAAAAAGGAGTCTTCTCAAAAGCTAGAGAGCAACTTAGCTTCTAGTTCCAACCCTCAAGTTTCGATTAGAACGGCTAAGTCCATTGAGGAAGAGGACCACCTAATCCGTAGTACCAAGAAAATCAAGAGCTCACTACTCTCGGGAACCACATTCAATCATCATTTTCGACAATTGGTAACCACACTCAGCCATTATCTCTGACCATTGGCTATCATCTCTTGCTCATTGAAATTCAAACTTTAATATAATAAAACATTTTTTATGTTATGTGATAGTTAATGTAGTATTTCTGTCTAATTTTAAATATAAGTTAGTTTTTAAGAATAAACTGAGAAAAAAATTAAAATATAAAAGGTTAAAATAAGAAAAAATAAATTATAAAGGAAAAAAAACTGAGAAAAAAATAAAAAAAAAAAAGGTTAAAAAAAAAAAAAAAAAATTAAAAATGCCAAAGAAAAAAAAAAAAAAAAACTTAAATATAAGGAGATCAAAGTATAATTTACTCATTTTTTTTTAAAACTTGTTTGACTAAAATCTTCCCATCTCAAATGAGGTCTTAGTTTCATTTAAATTATTAATTACTAATTCATTTGAAAGTTCACATTATTAGAAGAACTACTTTTATTATTTATATTATTATTGGTTGTGTAGAGCCTATACTAAGGGGTTGGTATGCAATGAGTAGGGTTGCTGGTATTGTGGCAGTTACATTTTAAGGTTTGGTGAGAGAAGAAAAGTAAAGGAAGTTAACACTACCAAAAAGGAGTCTTCTCAAAAGCTAGAGAGCAACTTAGCTTCCAGTTCCAACCCTCAAGTTTCGATTAGAACGGCTAAGTCCATTGAAGAAGAGGACCACCTAATCTGTAGTACCAAGAAAATCAAGAGCTCACTACTCTCGGAAACCAGTAAAATGGAAAACGAAGTGGTGATGGCTCTTGCACAAAGAGATGACGAGTCAAACCCTCAAATATTGTCGTCTCCGAGCAGCTTACCTGTGAAATCTTTTAAGGAAACTCTGACTATGATGAGAATCAGCGCTTATTTGTTTGAAGACCGAATAGAGATTCTCTCCTCAAATGAAGAAGATGATGGCCAAGAGGGACACCTTGATACCGAACAACCACTCTTGGAACCCATGAATGTACCCACTATCTCCCTCCCCAAAAAGCTCTTGCAGAAGATTCGAAAACCATGGGAGAGCGCTCTAATCATCAAACTACTGGGGAAGAGTATTGGTTACAACATGCTCTGCACTCGAGTCAAAAATATCTGGGGGCTTCAAGATGAGTTCAATGCCATTGATTTGGGTTGCAACTATTTTTATTCAAGTTTTATAATCAAGAAGACTATACTAAAGTGTACACTAGAGGCCCTTGGGTGATCATGGATCATTACCCAACAGTCAGAAAATGGGAACCAAACTTCAAGCCTTCGGAAGCTTTTGAAACCACAATCGCAATTTTAGTCGGTTTCCGGAACTTCCGATTGAATACTACCAGGATAAAGTCCTATTCGCGATTGCTAAAAACATTGGGAAACCCCTGAAGATCGATTGGACAACCGCAATGGCAACTAGAGGTAAATTTGCACGAGTATGTGTAGAGATGGACCTAACTAAACCACTGATTCCCAAATTTTTTCTAGAGAAGAAATTCTATAATATAGAGTATGAAACTCTCTATTCTTTCTGTTTCCTTTGCGGACGAATTGATCACCGAAAAGAAACATGTAGATTTCGATCACAAAATACACAGCCGGCGGGGGAAAAGGTAGTCGTTACCGATGTAGTTAGCGGCACTCCTGTCGTTAAGACCAACGGTAACCTGCAATCTCAAGAAACTTTAGAAGAGGATTTTGGGCCTTGGATGCTGGTTATCAAATGGGATAGAAAACCTGTCCAGCATAGGAAAGCTCAAGAACCACCTGGCCTAGCAACCAAGCTCAATAAGTTTAGATACTTAGAAGGACCTCAAGAGGGATAAGGAGAACAATCACAGGGCTGCAAACATACCAGAGTTGGAGCCAAGAAGGCCATGAGCAGCCACACAACCCCTCTAAACCCAAACCAGACCCAATAACCCAATGATAAAGATAGGATGGCTCAAAACTTAACCTCATCCAAAGGGAAAAATAAACTAACCCAACATCTATCCATGGGTACACCAACTGGTGCTAGTACATCAATGCAAGTGGAGGAACCTATTGTAGAGGTGTCAGGCCCTGAGCACATTGAAATAGAAAACTCTAACAGTGAAAAGCACCCACAATCTGGTGTGACTGACATGATATGTGTCTTGGATACTAGTACATGGCAAGAGGACTTGACTTCACAAACAGCTATAACTATTCCAATTCACACCATCAACTCCACCCCAGATATCACTAATCCTAGTATTAGTTTTACTCCTGTACCCACAGACCCATTGCTACAAGAAAGAGAACCTCTCAACCCAGGAGAACAACACAATGGAGAAAGAAGAAGAAATGAATTCAGAGGCTCAAAGGCTACATGTAGAGGAACATCTGAGACAGACCAACTAGGTGGGGCTACTATTAGAACCAGAGAACGAAGCTCTTCACCTAGTCGTTTTCAACTAGTGGATAAAACAAATTTAGTTGATCATCGAGCCAAGTTGGGGGGACAATCGACCACATCCACTCCACTTAGTGCAGATGGCCTCCCTCAGATCAACGGAGGACAATCATCGAAGAGTACGTAGTGTCATAAATCTTGAAGGTAACACTTTCCCAACATTCCATATTATGAATTTAATCCGTCTTCTGTTTTGGAATTGTCGCGGTGCCGGCAACAAAAAATTTAAATGTAATCTTATGGAAATCATCAAGACCCATAAACCAGAGATCCTGATCCTCATGGAAACCAAGATGGCCTTCAGTACAATGAGTGAGTTCTTTAATCGACTTGGATTCACTGCCTCATCCACGGTTGATCCTGTAGGCAGAGTAAGGGGCATATGGATTGTTTGGGATACAAGCCAAGTGAATGTTAGAGCCTCTACAGTTAGTCCACAAGTCATTCACGCTACTGTACATAAGGAGGATTATGAGGAATGGGTACTGACTGCTGTTTATGCCAATCCCAACCCCAACCCCAACCCCAACCCTAACCTTCGGGAACGGCTTTGACAGGACCTTGAAGATATAGCGCATACTATGCAACAACCTTGGCTGGTGGCTGGAGACTTTAATGACTAAGCAAATCAAAGTGAAAGAAGGAGTTTCTCAGCTAGCCAAAATACTAGTAGAACTCAGAAATTCCTTGATCGAGTGAATAGCTATAATCTCATTGACTTGGGAAATTTTGGACCTCGTATGACGTGGACAAAGAATAGACAAGGTATAGCTAACACCATGGAAAGACTTGATCGTGCTCTGTGCAATGCGGAATGGAGGACCATGTTCCCCGAAGCCACATTTAGAGTTCTTCCTAGAACTTATTCTGGTCACTCCCCTCTTGTCATCTACACCCAAGGTATGCATACTTTAAACCCCCATAATAGGCCCTTCTGTTTTGAGGCTACTTGGATGTCTCATCCTGACCTTATTAATGTTATTAAATCCTCTTGGCATTGTATAAACAATCAACTCCTTGACTCTACTGCTGACTTTACTAATAGAGTATCTGAATGGATAAGGAGGTTTTTGAAAACATTTTTAAGCGCAAATGGAGACTCCTTGCTAGAATTGAGGGTACACAGAAAGCGCTTGCTGACAAATTCACACACAGTCTTCAAAATCTTGAAAACATGCTTATTAAGGATTATAATGAGACTTTGCTCCAAGAGGAAATGCTTTTGTTCCAGAAATCTAGATCCAAACATATCACCCTTGGAGATAAAAAATGTCAAATATTTTCATATCTTTACTTTAAATAAAAGACGCAAGCTTAAAATTTGTGCCCTGAAAAATGATGATGGTAATTGGATTAGTGACACTGAGGGGGTTAAAAACCTCATTCTTGACTCTTTTAAGAACCTCTTTACAAAAAATGACACTCAACAATTAGATCACTAGAATAATGTCACTCTTGCTAAATTTTCTAAGGAAGATAATGATGGCTTTTTGAAGCCTTTGTCCAACCTGGAAATTCTTCAAGCTGTGAGAAATATTTGTGCATTTAAAGCCCCTGGAACTGATGGTATCCAGGCAATCTTCTATCATAACTATTGGAGTATTGTTGGTAAGTCTGTGTATGTGCTTGTTAATGCTTGCTTTCGCAACAAATCTGTCCTTGAATCTGTTATTGAAACTCTCATTGTTTTTATCCCTAAGTTTGACAACCCCGCCAATATCAAACAATTTCGGCTCATTAGCCTCTGCAATGTTACCTATAAGATCATCTCAAAAAATTGTTGTGAATAGAGTTAGACCTCTCCTTGACAGCTTGGTGAGCCCCAACCAAAGTAGTTTTATTCCGGGTAGAAATACTATTGATAACATCATCATTACCCATGAGATTCTTCATACTTTGAGGCATAAAAAAGGCAATGAGGGAGGTATGATTTTTAAAATCGATTTGGAAAAAGCCTATGATAAACTGTCTTGGGATTTTATTAGAGACACATTAGTGGAGTTTAATATGAATGACAATTGGATCAATCTCATCATGAGCTATGTCTCTAACTGCAAATCGACTATCCTATGGAATAGAGAGATACTGGAAGGAATTAAGAATGAGAGACGCTTGAGACAGGATGACCCACACCTCTTTGTTCTTTCTATGGAAAGACTATCCAATATGATTAGTTCCAATGTAGAAGGTGGCCAGTGGAAAGGGATTAAGGCAACTCGCACTAGCCCACCCATCTCTCACTTATTCTTTGCTGATGACCTTATTTTATTTGCCAAAGCTTATCTCTCCAACTGTGATACTATTATGTCAGTTCTCTCTAAATTTTGTGCAGTCGCTGGGCAAAAAATCAATCACTCTAAGTCCAAACTTTTTGTCTTCCCCAATTTAGCCCGTAACAAAGCCTTATCCCTTAGCTTCTATAGTGACATCCCTTTAACCCAAAACCTTGGTAAATATTTGGGTTCTCCTATGATTCATGGTACAGTCAATAGAAACATGTTTAGGGAAACTTTAAAGAAACTTAAAAATAGGCTGTCAGGTTGGAAGGCTAGAACCTTCTCCCTAGCTTGTAGAACCACACTTATTCAATATGTCACCTCTGCTATACCCAGTTACAACATGCAGACCATGGAAATTCCTAGAAGGGTCTGTGATGAAATGGATAGACTGAATTGTAATTTCCTATGGGGTGACACTGATTCTAGGAAAAAAGTTCACCTAGTTAACTGGGAGAGTGTTTGTATTAGTAAGGCTAAAGGAGGACTAGGTATTAGAAAAGCAAGAGATCAGAATGCTGCTTTATTGACTAAACTTGGATGAAAGATGCTAAGCGACAAGGACAAATTATGGTGTAAGGTGATGCAATCTAAGTGCTTGAGAAAGCATTCCATCTTTAATTGACCCATCAAGAGAAGTTCTTCACATACCTGGAAAAGCATATGCAAAAACAGAGATCATTTGAAGAAGGGAGTTAAATGGAATGTGGGGAATGGTGAAAACACATCGTTGTGGGGTGACTGGTGGTGTGGGAAACAAGCTTTATTTAATTCTTACCCCTCCCAACAGAACAATACCCTCCAAAAAGTCAGCTCCATAATCAATGAAGAGGGCTATTAGGACATATATGCGTTGGGAAACATTCTTCAATCCCATGATATTCAGGAAATCCTCAAAATTCACAGGCCTAGATTTGTTACATACATAAATACACCTGTTTGGATTGGATCAACCTGTGGCAACTTCACTACAGCTTCAGCCTATCAACTCATTACAGGACAAGAAGGTGATGGTAGGGATTGGAAATGGCTCTGAAAATTAAAGATTCCCCAAAAAATGAAATGCTTTCTGTGGCTTATTCTAAAACAGAGGCTGCTAACAAATCAGCTGAGACTTGTGAGGAACATGACCACATCTGACCTTTGTCCTAGATGTGGTTTGACGAGTGAAGATTTGAACCATTTATTCAGAACCTGCACCACTTCTCAAAACCTCTGGATTGCAATTAAGGATAGGAACTAGTGGGAGGAACAATGTGATAGGCCTATACTTGAATGGATTACCTCTAATGTGAAAATTAACAGTGAGTATTTTGGTAAAAAATGGCAACTGGTTTTCATAACTACACTTTGGCAAATTTGGAAAGATCGCAACAGACTAGTGTTTGACAATCTCAACCATTCCATTCAAATCAGCCTCAAGAACACAAGGAATTATGTTCATGAGATTGATGAGGCCTATCAATCTGTCCTCCATTCCAGGCCCTATCATCCCAAACTAATTCATTGGCTTTGTCCTTCTGCAGGGACTCTTAAACTGAATGTTGATGGCTACTCTAAAGGTGATCCAGGCCAAGCTGGTTATGGAGGGCTGCTGCAAGATGAAACGGGACTATGGATCTGGGGATTTTATGGAAAACTGGGCCACTGTTACAGTCTCGAAGCGAAACTGTGGGCTATTTACAGAGGACTTACAATCTTATTCCAGAAAGGCACCAAGGAAGTGGTTATTGAATCTGATTTGGAGCTGGCCATCAACCAGATACAGAATGGTCCATGCCTTAATTCTCCATATAAAGCTCTCATAGAGGATGCAAAATTTTTGTTGAAAAGATGCAACTGCTCCCTGCGCCATACACCAAGGGAGGGCAACAAATGCGCTGATTTTCTTGCAAACATGGGTGTTTCACAAGATGAACATGTTCTAGTGCTTGAAGAACCTCCTGAAGAAGTGAAGGCACTGATCATTGATGTCATGACTGGAGCTAGTGTTCTACGGGATTAGTTCTTCTTCTTTCATTTGTTCTTTTTGTTGTTTCTGTTCTTCTGTTTGTATTGAACTTCCTTTGAATCAAAAAAAAAAAGAGAGAAGATAAGTAGAGTGAATGAAATTTTATTTTTGTTAAAAAAAAAAATTATTATTAAATAAATAATTAAAAATACAAGAAATTGTGAGAAAAGAAAATAAATGATAAAAAAGAAAAAAACCTTCAAAACTTATGTTTTGTTTTTTGTAAAAAAAAATGATGAGATTTGATGATAAATCAAAATTATTCTTTACAAAAGAAAAAATCTATAATGCATCCCTATAAATACAAAGTAAAAAAGAATATTTTTTTTTAAAAAAAAAAACATGTTTTCTTTTTTATTCATTGTTTATCCAAACCAGAAGTTGAGAAATAAAAGTAAGGTTCATTTGTGTGTATTAAGTATTTGTTAATTTGGTGACTGAATGAGTATTTCATTGACTGTGTTAAAGGGGTTGTTAAAGTGTGTATTTATTAGTAAAAATGGATTTCACTTAAATGTGTACGTATATATAAAAAGGCAATTATTAAGTAGTTCTTGATGATTATGTGGTATTGTTTACGTGATGGTTTACATTAAAAGCATAGCAAAATATCTTAGAGATGGGACATGGTAACTCATCATTAGAGTTGTAAAACAAACCAAGCTACTCGAGCTTAACTTGAGTTAGGCTTATTAAAAATTCGTTTGAAATTGACTATTTATGTAAACAAACCTAGTTTAAACACATTTTGAAACTCATTAAATTTTCTTGAGTCAAGCTTGAATAACTTATTACTTGGCTTGGTAAGCATATATGCATTATAAAAAATCAAAATTTATTCGAGATTACCTCCTTATGTAAACAAGTCAAGCTTGAACAATCTGTTACTCGACTTAACTTGTTTGTAACATTACTCATCATTGTTAGGTAGGTAAGAGACAAGAAATGACTCTATTTAGTATGAATTGCAAATTTTGATTTACCAGATGTACCACATAGGCTCCACGTGATATTCTTGGACTATTAAATAATTTTTCATATATAAGGAATAAATTTTTAAAAAAAACATTAAAAATATTGTGAAATATTTGGATAACCATCAAAAGAGATGCAATTGGAATTTTAATAAGTTTTTAGGCCAAATTATAAATAGGGGAAAGTTTTACCATGTGTATAGTGTGGTATACCATGTGGTAAATCTAGTGTGTGGTGAATAGTGAGGGTTTTATCACCTATAAATAGGTGGGTTTGCATGGTAATGAATATATAGAGAGAGAGCAAAAAAAAAAAAAAAAAAAAACTCCTTATTTCCTCTTCTATTGTGGCTCTTTCTTCTTTATTTTCTTTAGTTTTATAACACGTTATCAACATGAGATTCTGACCAGCTAAGAAAGAAAAGTGAAATCACATATAAATAAGGTTGGTTTGTTTTTCTACAAAGTGGTTGAGGTAAGTATAAATAAATTTTGAATAAATATTTTATAAGAGCGGTTCATGATAAGGCTAATTCTATATTTTTTCTTAATATATTTACATAATACTAAATATATTATTGGTGTTGTGTTGAGTGCACAAATATGTCAAATCCTTCAAAATCAAAATTCATAAATCTTGATATTTCAGAAAATTTATTTATCCAAGATGCTAAGATCCACCTTTAAGGCAAAAAATCTTGGAGATACCATTAAAAATAAAGGATCACGCAAAGGTAATGATATTCATACCCTACCATCTCTAAGAAGAATTAAAATTGAATGCCCCATGGTAACAGATTCACTATTTTTGTTTAATTACTTGAAGGGGAAATACAAGTACTAGAAGGCCGTAAACCTCCAAAAAAGTTCTTTATAATTGATTGCACTTGAAATTACAAAATTATGAATCAGTTAGTGAGTACAATCTATAGAATATGTGTTGAATTATTCACGCTGATAATATGCTCCTGTAATAGCAATATAAAGAGTGTTAATCTACAAAGTACTCTGAATTGATTTCATGTTTTCTTGTGGCTGAACAAACTAAGCAACTTTTATTGAAAAATCATCAATCCCGTCTTACTGGCTCTATTTCATTTCCTGAAGTGAATGAGGTTGCATTTCATGGTCGTGGATGCAGGAGAAGTCATGGTTTTAAACATGGCTATGGTAAAATAACAGAATCCATAGGAGACATGTTCAGAAATATTCACACAAAAATATCATGTCATTCCACCTGAAGTGGAATAATCTTGAGATATCACAAGAAAAAGGAAAAAGTTTACATCATATAGAATCTCCCAAGAATGATGTATGTATGTATGTATTCATGTTGCATGTGCATGGTGCATATTACATGGCAAATAAATCTGTTAGAAAAGAAAGTGATTACTATACATAAATAATTGTTGTTCATCTTTTTTCATCTAGAAGTTCACTATTCATCATTATTCATTATTGTGCATTTTTTTAAACAATTTTCTCAAAATACTATTCATCAACAGTATTTTACTATTGAAATCTTTTCTACTTGGAGCGTCTCTGCCTTCTAAATAACAAGCTTCAATAAAAGGAAAAAGAAAAGATTATCGGTAATGAAAATATTCACACTGATTTCTGAATATTATATTTGTTTTAGCTATATTTTTTAATTTATATTTTCATGTTTGATCAAATTTTAGAAATGATGATTAGCTATCTATATACATGGATTGTATTGATGTATTGACTAATTCTAAAATATTGAGTAAAATATTAAATTAGTAGACAGTATAAAGACACCTATAATTCTTTGGAATGAAAAACATTTGACAATGACAAAAGCTAATGTCAAATCTCAAGTTCTGCAAACTTGATTGAAAGCTCTGGAAGAGCCAATATTATGATTATCAAATGGAATCAAATTTGATATTGATGAAGTATATTCTACCAGATCTAGAAGATATCTGTTAAGTTTTAAAGATATATGTCGTATTGGTTATTGTAACCATAAATAAAGGTAAAGAAGAATATCTATATATTACTTCTACTAAAGTTTGTATTATACAGCAATAAAGCCAACTGAATCAAATGTTGAGATACACCAGAAGTGCTCCAACTTAATGCACTAGAAGTGTTATAATCCAAAAATCGGTCATGTTAAGGCATTATTACCTTAAGCATTCAGGATCTATAACGATGTATTGAATTATTAAAAATTCAAATAGAGCATCCATTAAAGAACCAAAAGATTTGTTAGCCCCAAGGTTATTCAAATTTAAGTTCTTATTGATTTTGATTATTGACAAATATTTTGAATTCATTTTGATTATTTAAAGTTTTCAAAATAATAGTATACAATTTGTGCTTTAATTGTTCTAGAAGTTATATCATTTTAAAGTGTTGTTTTTCAATGATTTTTAGCCTCTCAAAACATGAGATTAGCACTTGTATACAAAAATCTATTTATACTTGAAACAGGTCCAAGGGTCGACCCCAAAATAGCAAGGGTCGACACCAAAGTAAAGCTCAAAATGTGTAAGTGTTCCAAAAGCAAGGGTCGGCACCAAAACAGCAAGG